CCCCCCCCCCCCCCCCCCCCCGCAAAAATACCTTTTTTATGCAAGAAAGAGTAAATCGGTTATAAGCAATGACGGGGATTGAAATTTGGGCAAGAAAATCGCTTAACTTGAGAAACTCGGCGACTCTCTCGAAATAAACAAAGACAACAAGAGAACATTTCCCTCGAATTTCGAGGGAAACTTCGCTCCTACCGACTGACACTATATAGAAACCAGACGTTTTACAGTGAAATCCATTCAATGGAGAACATTCAGTTTTCAATCTAGCTTGCACATGATTGACTTTTTTGGGCCTATCCCCAAGTTTCAGTCTGTGGAATTTAGGAGAGTTCTAGATTATTCACAATGCAGTGCCCACCAAGAGTTCGCCACGAAGAGTTAATTTTCCAAGTGCATTATGGGAGATGGTCGACAAATTGCAGCGCGGATATTTGAAATTGTTTGTTTTTCCGGTCAGTAAATTCGTTAGCCTATGATTCGAATACCTGTTTGCCCTTCTTTTCTTCTCATAATGTGTTGGGGTTTTTGTAAGAAGGCAGAACACTAGCATACACCAAATCTCTAACAAATTAGCTCAAGTTGTCTACTGACACTCATCCAAATGGTCCATGTTTTGTCGACCGTAAACTTGAAAGATACTCTCCATGGCAAACAATTGGTGGCGCACTGCATTTTGAATTGCTCAAACGCACGTCAGTATAATCTCCCTTTTGAGTTGACGAACACAATATGAGGGCGCTATTTCAAGTGGGGTAGTCCAGAAGAGTTTATACACGCCTAATAGCTCTTTATATTGTTTCGTTACGTCTCCGTTAAAACGTTAATGCGGACCCGCCCGTAATGGCAGCCATTTGAACTTTTTGGTAATGGCTTGCTATTTTACCTATATTTTTTTCATTCAAAGGACAAATATGCAATGGTCCTGTAGCCAAATATCGTTCTCAGTGAAGACACACTCTGACTGTGGTGCTAAATATTTCGACCAACGCTGGTCGAATTATTATCAACTGCCTACACTCTTGGGCAAATTCTTCCCAATAGTTGACAGTTTTTACCCAATTCAACCCAATATGAGGTAATTTCATACCAATGCTGGGTAAAATAAATTACATTACCCAACAGTGTTTTATCCTACCTTTTTACAGAGTAAATGTAATTTTTTTTGACCAATGCAACACTTAATCTTTCCAAGGAAGACTGAAGAAATTACTATTTACTGTTTCGAAGTTCCTTTGTTCCAATATTTAAAAGGGAATTTTAACTGCACACTTTTGTCAACTAAACTTTTCTGGGTTTTTTTTCTGGCTCGGAGACAAACGACGTGCCCAATAACCTAGTTATAACGCTGATCGTATACGGAGTGCTGTGGCCTCGTGGTTAAGGGCACTGGATTCGTGATCTGTGGGTAAAGCTGCGGGTTGTCGATTGAGTCCAGCCTGGGCTCATGGTGCGTGTGCCCTTGGGCAAGGCAACTTTGTCACTCATTGCTTCCCTCAAGCCAGGAGTAAATGGGTACCTGTGAGGGCAGAGATGGTTATTGTGATTGAATAAGCTGCTTGCGCTTGACAGGCAGCATTTGGAATGTTTAATTGGCAATGATCAGGGGTATTAAAAATACTGTAAGCGCTGTGATTTAGTTAACTAATAAGAGCGTTCTTAAATGCTGATTATTATTATTATTATTATTATTACATACAATGCAGGAATGTATAAGTACATGTAAATGTGGCCGAGTAAGCATACGTTAAACGCTGGATTAACACCCTGCGCAGAATGATCTGATATCAGTGTTTTCATTTTTTTAATAAAAAAAAATTAGAGCCAATAACGTTCACCTCCTATCTAATCCTCATTCAACCCTTGCCAAATCAGCTGGTTCAATGAACTTTGTAGCCAGGGCCACACCCGAGCCGTGTCAACAAACTTTCGACCAGGCCTCCTGCCAAGTATCATTGAAACATCAACAAAGACCTGTAATTTGACAAGCCATCTCCTTTCATAACGGCATGCCACAGCCGTCAGTCAATTATCTTTCCAGGCCACTGTCTGGCATCTGTCTGGACACTGTCTGGCACGTGGCTTTTTGTTGTATTGCCATGAATAGGGTCTTGCGTAGCATGGGAAAGTACCTGCTGCACAAAGGGAAGCCGTTGAGAGTAATGGCTGGATTTTTTGTACACGCTGCGCAGGGTAAAGAATAAAAAAGGCGCTAACCTGAAACGAACGGCCCGCACTATTTAGCATACGCAGGGGCGGATCCAGGAATTTTCGCAAGGGGGGGGGTTTCATCAGCAAAAAAATCTGAAAATGTACACAGGTTTTTTCCCGGACACTTGGTCTCCGTAAAATCAAAAACTGGGGGGGGGGGGGGGGGGGGGGGGGGGGGCTGGAACCATATTTCAAAAGGGTGTACCGTATTTTCAACAGGCAGACATTACCAGTATAACTTTTTTTTGGTGTGTCACAGCAGGGGGGGGGGGGGGGGGGGGGTTCGACTCATTTTTTTTTTTCGACTCATTGAAATTTTTTTGGACAGAGCAGGGGGGGGGGTGACCCCAAAACACCCCCGCCCCCCCCCCCTCTGGATCCGCGCCTGATACGTCGTCTTGTATGCAATCATATCACGCACCCAAACATGATTATAATCACGCTTTGTGGATGGAAGACAATTAACTTCTCGTAGTTTTTCCCTTCAATTATACTTATCTCAACGAACGAAAATGTTTGATGAAAATGGACATTAATTCGAACTACAGATCTTGCTATTAGTAGTTCATTGCACTATCCACTAGCCCACTGTGGCAGGTTGACGAAAGCCGTTCTTTTAAATGCTTTAATGTACATGCATAACTGAATGTAAGCAATGGTGTGACGTCATTGTAATTTTCTTATGAATAAACATCGACTAGCTGAAACATCATGATCCATTGACGATGTATGCTACAAAGAAAAACACCGCGAGCGGCCCAACGTCTCGGGAGGCAGAACGAGCCCTGTATAATTACCAATTATTATCACTACTATTAAGCCTAGATACACATGCATTACGGTATACGCAATAAGGTAGCACATTTGTGTAATTACCAACTCTATAGTGACGTCATACAAAGGTAACCCTACACGTAAACAACCATTTCATTGGCGTCCGAATTCTGTCTAGAGTGCCTGTTCGAACGATCATTTTTCGCGGTTTGTTTACTTGAGAGATGCCATTGCGACCCGATCTTCATTGAGCATTGCACTTGGCATGATATCGGAAAGTGCAGCACTACTGAACAACAAACAAGCTGTTATCCTTTAATATTTTCGTCCATTTCTAATGCTATAATTTGAAATATTTTGGGAAGATCACGTCAGAAATGGCACAGTATTGCATGTGATGTATTCATAACATTGAGACTTGACCCATACATATGTGGTGTCGTGCTACATCACACAAACACACATACATCATCATGGATAGACAGACCTCATAAAGCGGTTTTGGAACATACCTATATCACTCAGTTTCATGTCTTATACATACACACCCAAGTGTGTATTTACCTGCAATCGTGGACCTTTATTGTCCCTCTTTGTTTGTACCACTAACTTTTTAGGAAGACCTCCATATGTTTTGTACACATAACCAAGTTGGGGACCTTCGGGAATTGGGGACCCTATTGTCCTCTATTGTTAAACGACCCTATTGAATACAGAAACAAACACACACTTTCGTCCGTGGTTTTGGGGACATACACTCATCTGTACACACAATTTGTGGAGAGGGAAGACGCTATCGGGACAGCAGAAAGTTCCAATAACTCAGTCCTAATTTGCCTTACAATAAAAAAATCCCTTTTAATACCGCGGTGTAGGCCTACCCACAAACTCCCACACGTTCACTTAGCATTTCGTGTGTATTTACCTTTAACCCTGTGTGTCCCTTTTTTGTTTGTCTTTTAACTTTTTAGGAAGACCTCCCATAAAATCGTCAATCGTGGATCTTTGGGGACGGGGACCCTATAGTCTTCTATTGTGACGTCCCTATATTGAATGTAGAAAAACAAACTCGAACTTTACACATACGTGCATGTGTATTGTGTACATATAGTAGCCTACAGGGTTTGATATGGGGTAGAAAACACATTTGAATGATAAACCCAATAAGGAAGTCTTTAGAAATGTATCTTCTTCATAAAGGGAACCACTATGGAGTTTGAGATTTCAATAGGAGCAAGGAAATACAAAAGAAGGAAAACAAGAGGTCCACGGAAGCCTTTCTTTTGAAATGCTTTAATGTACATGCAGGACTGACTGATGGAGCAATGTGTGTGACGTCATTGTTATTTTTTTGATGAATAAACATCAGACTAGCGCAATAATCTCGATCCATTGACGATGTGTGCTGCAAAATTTAAACACCGCATACGGCTATGGATATATCTATCAAAAGCGCCCCAGCGATGTAAACACTAGGCAAGGAAGCACATCTCTTCCCACTCGAGGTTTGTGCCCCTCCCCTTAGTGTGCCCCTCCCCTAAAAAGTGCCCCGTAACGAGAATCGGGAGAAGTAAAAAAAAATATACATGTAATGTAATGTTAAAACTGAGGCACTAATAACAATGAATGTGTTTAAAATGCCAAATAATATTCATAACACGGGAAAAGGCCAACTGATAATAAAAAATAATCCGTTCGCAGACAATGAGCAGTAAATGAATTCGTAGGAATTGCAAGTCTGAGGCAGAGAAGACGCACAAGCAATTGTGGTTATTAAGATACGGTACCAGCATCATTTTAATTTAAACCAATCATAGGTACAGTATTCTAAAATCGTATATATTAATAATTAGATGTGGAATATTATAATTAGGTGTGGAATAGTCGGGTACATGTACGTTCAGAATAATGATAATCATCGTATTGTCGGATCTGAAAATATAATTTTCCAAAACCACAACAAAGTAATCTTCACCATCCTACCTGTATTACCCCCCCCCCACCAAAAAAGATATAAAAAAAAGAAAAAGCCAAATTTTGTGCGACTGAGAACTGAAAGTGAATTTTTTTTCCAGTGCGGTGTTAAACATGTAACACACTTTTAAATTAAACTCACCAAAACACACCATTACTGATTCAAAATACAGGATCGTAGTTTACAAAGGTAAACACTCAGAATGTACGCGTTGTTTTTTTTTATTTGATGTCAATTGACATGGACTGCCACTCCTTTCGAAAGTCCGTATAGGCTCTTGTAATTAGTGGGAAAATGCAAAATATTCCTGACTTAATAAGCGGGCCTACTTCACTTGTTCAACAAGGATTCTACATTGGCAAATAATACAGGGCGGATTAAAAAAAAAAAAAAACCGACACCAAGATATTATTGCTAATTGGAACAGAAGTAGAGCACATGTGAATCAAAGGGAGATACCTCTGTTAGGGTTGAATCTCCTCTTTAAAATGACACCCTGACCCTGATCATTACTAATGTCATTACATTCCTGGTTGACCAATGTGACCAATTTTATGAAAGGGTCTAGTTAGAGAATTGCGCCACTTTTCAATTGTGGTCTTTGTGGTGTCATTTGTCACAGAGTGAAAGGGTATGGTTGCCAATCAAGGCAGGTGGGGGATACAAGAGATTTTACCATGAAAAGTGGCGCAATTCTCTAAATAGACCCTTTCATAAAAGCTGCTCAGTCAACCGTGAATGTAAGGACATGATCAGGGTGTCATTTTAAAGAGGCGATTCAACCTGCAGAGGGTATCTCCCTTTGATTCACATGTGCCCTGCTATGTTCCAATTAGCAACAATATCTCGGTTTCTTTTTCTTTATCCACCCAGTATAGCGGTTGAAAAATAAGGCCAGCGAGGAAAATATTCACTGAGGACTGATTCCGGACGATATTATGGCGGGGTTGGAAGCCAGCTTATGTCTCTTCACTTTGTATACAGCGCCCTTTGTAGTTCACGAGCTGAGCCGATTGAATGTAATGTATACATTGTATAAATTCGAACCTATTTCAGCCCTTTCTCTTTCCAACGAAAAAAAGTCAGTATAATAATTTTATGGTATACCAATTAATTCCATCTGACAGTGGTTTAGCTGTAATTTTTTTCTAGCAAGAAAGTTGCCTTTTACGAGCAATTTACTACTCTTACAGATTAACCATTTATAAGAATAGTTAGAATAAACACTACAGTCAGTATCAAGTCATGCATAACTCAAAACCCTCAACCAAAAGGATGAACAATTGAAGTAAACTGCTGGAACTTCGAGATCTGTGAACAAGTGACGGAAAGAAAGACAGTTAGCTTCCGTAAGTACGTAATGGATATAAATGTACTGATACTCTTGATGATAAATCTACCAGACACGTTTTAATTCAAGTTTATACCGAATAGTTAGGACTTGTCAAAACTAACAAGAATCCGCAAAGAATAGCGAATTTCTACGGAGAGTTGCTATCCTAGTTTTGGTGGATAGGCCAACTGCAGATCACAAGATTAATTCGAATGATTCCATCTGATTGCATCTCTGGTTGAGCATAAAAAAGGGAATCTTTTCTTCAAATAACAAAGACGTAGAATTGTTCACAGGGTTTTCATTGATATAAATACCTTTGAGGTTTTTAAAAGTAGCACAGTGAAGATTCTGAGCGCAGAAATACAGAGAACACAATAGATTTGCAAAAAAAATTGTCATATAAAGCTAAAGGAGATTACTAGGAACTAAAAATGGGAAAATTAATATTTTGTGTGCATCTACATAGTTCCTTAGCTATTACGTAACACCGATTGGCGTCTGCCAATATAGACTCGCTCAATCTTGAGCCAAGCCTGCTATCGCCGTATAACGTGACAAACAGATATTGTAAGGATGCGAAGTGTCTTTGAAGGAAATTACTCATTGAGACGTTAAAGTTGCACATAGATGAAACTTTACTACAGTTAACAACGTGTGGTAATTTTTCATAAAAGACAACAATATTACAAATTAATATTCACCATTAACGGTCACCGAAAATACTGGACATGAAGTCGGACTAAAAATTCTACATACCTCCAAGTACAGCATCTTATGCTTCACGTTTGCCGTAAGACCCGGGCTCGTAAACTTCCTCTTGCGTTTTATCTACCTGACCCAGGCCTGGTTAAATGGAAGGAAACAGGGTTACAATATACACGTGAAAAAATATTATACAAACATACCAAACATTAGAAATTCATCAGAAATGGACTACATATATTCATCATGTGTTGTTTGGTAGGATCAGAGGTATCACAGGACCCCCCCCCCTCCCTCAACAGAAGGACCCCAGAGTGTACATTTGGTCATACTCTATGGTAAAGACTTAACTCAAGGAAAATGAAAGGATATATCAAATGTACAATTCCACAATGAATTTAATTCAAAATATCACAAAAATATTAGCAAAGGCCTACACCCAAACTACACCCTACAGACACTGTCTATGCGAAACGCGCGCGAGTGTTTGGGTCTAGTTGTGGTGCAACGGTGGCGTCCTCGGCCCATGTGGGTCCGGGCTGACGATCCTGCTGATCGATGGTCGACGTTACTTCGGCCCGTCGGTGAATTTCTTTTTCCCAAACGAGATCGGACAATATCAAAAGAGGGCGATCTCTGCGTAATGCATATTCGTCATGTTCAGGGCTCTAGAAAATAAGTTATATAACCAGGAATAATGGCGTTTAAATCACCGACGATTGGCATCTGATTCGTGGACTGGTTGGAAGTAGCCCTGACTCCTAATCACGTGATCCGAGTTCGAATCCCAGTGAGCGTTCTTCACTTGTTCTCATTTTACCTTTTTAAATAAGTAAAGTGAGGAAGGAGTGATTTCTCACAAGACGTAAAGCCTATCTTGGGTTTGTGTTGTGGAGAACAAGGCATTAAATATGCATGAAATGGACCAATCAGAAGATGAGAAACGGATGTCGTTTGGGGAAAAAAAGATTCGGGTCCCGCCGAGGGTGTCTGTCTCATTGCGGAGTTCGCCACACCAGGCGTTACAAACACAAAAACAGGTTAGCAGTGACGAGGACGGCCGCAAACTCGGTTCTTAAGGAACTTACAAATCCCCACTATAGGTTGGATTATTGACATAGCCCTCTCCATGGTCTTCCTAATTATTTAACCCATAGGTTGCAAATAGTTAGAAATTCAGCCGCTCATCTTATTACCCATACTACGAAATTTCAGCATATAACCCCAAGTTATCCAAAGTAATCACTGGATTCATGTGGCAAAGCGTAGTGAGTTCACGATCCTTATTCTGGCTTATAAAATCTCATTAACAAGCACCTGTTTATTTTGTGGATTTGTTGACAATTCGAGAATTTTTGAAAGCCACTAGCTTGCTCCACCACTGAAACACGTATAGTTCAGCCCCGTTTTAATGAAGATCACTATGGCAGGTGTGCCTATTCAGTAGCAGCACCCAGTGTATGGAAAAAAACTTATTTCATTCGAAATGCACGCTCTTGTTTTTGGATCTTTTAGGTCAGCACTAAAACCTTTTTTCGTCGGGTTTTTAATGAAAGTCCAAGTGATTGTGATTTTTTATGTATTTCAATTGAGTCTTACTGTGTATTTTGATCAACTTTTTTTATGTACCGGTATAATTTTTAATGAGCTTTTTAAAGTATTATATTGACGTTTTTTTTCTCTCGATTGATTTTGTTATGCGCATTGAGATTTTTGTGATGATGTAATGCGCTGTATGAGAATTTATATCAAGAGGGATGGCATAAAAGTATTCCGAAAACTGTATTTCCTTAAAGTTACATTTTAGGTTGGGGTCTTTCCCCTAAATACAGCCACAAAAAAGTTACACGATATATAAATTGAGATTGGGATCGCTCATCACCTTAAAGGGACATCGCGTCCCGGAATGCTCCCAATATTAGGCTACAAAACGCATTTTAAATGAAAGGACGATAATCTGAAGGAGCATCAAAAGTAGGATATAAACGTCCACACAACCATCCTTTAAAAACTTGGCGGTTTGAGTTATTCTTAATACGAGAACCATGCCAAACGAATTTCGAGGGTCAAAATGTGAACTCTAAAAAATCGAGCTGTTGATCAAGCGAACTAGTCGTGAATCCTGCCGAACAGTGCATCGTATTCTGCGGATGTGAGAGAAACCATATTTGTGTAATGGTGCTGTGCGTATTATGTGAACACACAATTATGTATATCGTACATTGAATGAAAACGGCTCCAAAACGCGTACGTGCGCAACAAAAAGTCCGCCGCGTCCGATGTAAACACATGTTTTTTCGTCTTTTCTCGGGAACGGTAAGACATAAGGTTAGTTTCCTTTCAACCAGATCTTTGAAACATATAAGCTGACAATCGAAAACTTAAAATTGCCGGAATTTCAAGCCGTAATCCCTGTCAATACACACAACAAACAATAGTTATACATGTTAGGCCGTGTCCGAAACGGGCTTCCAAAGCTACGGCTACGTCTATTGTCACCGCGTGTCCGCGTGTTTTCAATGGGCGCAGACCTAGACCTAGCTCTAGACAGCTGATTTGGATGCAGCCTTAGAGCGTTTTCGAAACGACTGGCTTTGGCTTCGTCTTCGGCTTAGTGACATTTTAGGCCCCGACTTCGGAGACTCCAGCTACATCTGGGTGCCTGTTATGCTTCAGGATCATTCAGTCGGTTGATATGAAGAAAAAAGTTGGAATATTTTTGTTTAGTTTGTCTCTCATTGATTCAGAAGTAGGAGGCAAATTTGAAAAAAAAATATAGCTGATTTATTTTTAAAAAGCTTAAATTTGAGTTTCCCTGACGCGAATTAGTACACAGTAAAGTTATATGTATTGGAAGCCAGGCTAGACATGCGCCAATTTTGTATATATGTTTTATATTTATTTTTTTAAGGAAATGGTATGATTTTTTATTTTGTTTAAGGAAATGTTACAACAACTGCATGTGAATAGAAGTGTTTCTAATGTATTTAGTGTAATACGTGGTTTAGCAGTACCGTAGACTAATATTCTGTCGTAAATGATTGTTTTGTATGACTTAGAGTTTAATAAATAAGCAGAGAGTAGTTCGGCATATCCATTTTCCGTACCATGTTTTCCTCTGCTACTACCCATAAGTTCTTCTATGAGTTAGACTTCATTCCGGTTGTTCTATCTATATTGGTTTTGGACAACTCAACCCCCGCCCTTATTTGCATAGTCACTGAAATCCATGGGAACGCTCAGACGACGTAGCAGTACTTTCAAATCAAATTGTGAGAACGGGTCTAAGGCATTTTCATGACTTTAGAAACAAAAATAAAGTTTCACGTACCTTCGTGTCGTGCTGGTGCTGCACCACCGTGATCTTCGCCTATTGCACCAGCACCATATTCACTAGCTCCACTACCATGGGAATCAGAACCTCCTGCGACTGGTACGTAAATGGAAGAAAAACAATACAATGTACACGTACAAAATATTACAAACATATTGAAAATATTAGAAATTCATCCGAAATTTACCATCTTTATATTTTCATCCCGTGTTGTTCGATGGGAATCATAGGTGTCACATGATACCCCGAACGGACCCCGGAATGGTACATTTGATCAGAATCTATGGTAAATACTCAATTCAGACAAAATTAAAGGACAAATGTACGATTCCGCAATTTTCAAAATATAACCAAAAATATTAACATTCACCCAAATTACACCCTACGAACATATTGTCCAAGCAAAATGTGTGGTCAACGGTCGATGTTTAATTTCGGCACGTCGAGGGTGTCTGCCACGGTCTCAACGCGAATTTTGCCACACCAGGCGTTACAAACCAGTGTTGTAGTCGAGTACTTATTTCCGAGTACCGAGTACTGCTGAGTACTTAGGTTGCCGAGTACGAGTACTTGTACTTCCGAGTACAAGAACAGGTTTCCGAGTACGAGTACTTGTATTTCCGAGTACAAGTACGAGTACTTCAATTTCCGAATACGACCACACGGCAAATGCTTCATTGTGCGTATAACTGGCCAAGGCCCAGTCAAACCAATATACTAGACCCAATAACATCTGTTAAATGTGTTTGTCCGGACGTGCCCAGAGAAAAATCAGGGAACATCGATTTCTCCGCAAGTCAATGACTGGCATACTTACGGTCAATTACATTTTAGGTTGGGGTCTTCCCCCTTGATACAGCCACACACAGAACGTTACACGATAAATAAATTGAGATTGGGGTCGCTCCGCTTCAAGGAACATAACGTCCTGGAATGCTCCCAATTGAGATACAAAACGCGTTTTAAACGAAAGGACGGTAAATGGAAGGCCAAGGAGCATTTAAAGGTAGGATATAAACCTCCACACAACCACCGTTTAAAAAATTATTCGTGCGAAAACCATGCGAGTGCAAATTTCGAGGGTCGAAATTTGGACTCTCTAAAATCGAGCTGTTGAGTGCTAGTTGCGAACGTGAACAACGTTGTTGTAATGGTGTTACGTGTATATCGTACATTGAATGGAAATGGCTGGAAATACGCATACGTGCGCCACAAAATGTCTGCCGCGTCCGATTTAACCTACCGGGTTTTTTCCGTCGTTTCACGGGTACGGTAAGACATTAGGTTAGTTTTCTTTCATCCAGACCTTTGAAATAGTTTACAAATATAACATGGTTTGAGGGTGGACAGTCGATATTCGCTTCCTGAGGTATTGGAAGTTACCAAACTGGTTCCCTAGGCGAAGTTATATTTGTTTTACTACACTCAACAAAAAAAAAAAGGAAGTCCCCTTAATACTTGTTTGTCTAACTCAAAAACTACTTAGCACATCTTGCTCAAATTACAACTGATCAGTACAGAAATTCCTTAGCAATCCTAAAACAGTGATAATGTGTACAAAATTATGCAATTTATGACAAATCGTACCCAAAAAATGTGCACTTCTGTATACGTACAAGTTTAGTGTGAACCACAACTTGTATGTATACAAAAGTGCAACTGTTTTCGGTATCATTATTGATTATTCTGTCGCGGCCATACTTCAAATCGCGGGATATATAATACAAAATAATAAAATTTAAAATTTAATATTCCAAGTTCAATAGAAGTACAAAACCCAGTTTGGCAGACAGGATTATACCGATCTTCTTTCTGTTTTATTCCGTGACATTGTCATTGACTAAGAACACTGTATTTGCAACTTAGCCCTTTATTGAGTTGAATTTCAATTTGAATTAAATGGTTTATTTATATTCTGTTACGACCATACGCTGAATTTCCGGAATATTTAATGTAAACACATTAACATTTAAAATGTATAATTCCCAACTAAAGAAAAGCACAAAGCCGCAGTTCGAAGGACAGGATTATACCGATCTTCCTTCTCTTTTACTGGAGTTTAATGACGTTGCATATTTACTGACTTAAAACACAGCATTTGCAACTTGGCCCTATATACAGCTAAAGAGTTGAATTAAATTTGAATTGAATGGTTTTCATAATTTTCTGTCGCGGGCACACGCAGAATTGCGGAAATATTAACATGAAAACTTTACAATGTTAATAAAGTATATTCCGTTGAAATATCTAATACAACATTACCCCCAAAAAGCACACACACAAATTTAAAATTTGATAAAGGCAGACGAGATGTTACAACTGCTGTGCTATCCGTGGGTTTCTTTTGAAGTTCAGAATGTATATGAAGATAATGCCTTCAAAGAATTTCGCAACTGTTCTTAAAGGGAAAATACAACATTTGCAAACATCAAAAAATAAAACTACCAAATTATTTTGAAATACCTTGCTAGACTGTTAGTGAATGACAGTGTAAAGCATCCTGTAAGATCATGGCACCTGGTATACTGTCATTTTCAAGAAAAGTGGTATTTTTGTATCAATTTCCAACGCTGATCGGCCGATCAGCGTTGGAAAAACTGTTTTTTTTTCAATTACTGGCCCCAATTGACAATCGCACTTGTTTGCAATCGATTACAAACCTATGAACGGGTACGAGCCAGCTAGACTGGTTCCCTGACCTTACAATTCCCCAATGTATGTAAACTGCTCTGTTTCTTCTTATATGGAGTCAGGTAACCAGACTACAGGAAAATGATTGTTTTTCTTGGTTTTCATAGCATTTTCGAACCCAAAACCTCAAAAAAAGTCAGTGTAACTATATTTGCTATATATTTCCAACCCTGCAATTCCATCCATTTTTGAAAATTACAGTAAAAGCAAATGATGTAAAGGCCTATTCCCTTTAAAACGTTCTGATCATTATTGACCTTTGCTCCAGGGTGGGCCGAATCTAATGTGTATTTAATAATGTTAGCCGTTAACTAGAGAACAACTAATTAAGCGCTTCCTTCTCAGCTAGGGGCAAGTGGTTGTCCAACCTACATGTTGCTTTCAGGAGTGATTTTGAGAGGGTCCTCTATTTTTTTTTTTACACATATTTACTAATTAAGATTATTTAATAATTATCTTTTCTGATCTCTTATTTACACAATTCCTCCATGGTTCAAACAATCTTCGGACTACTACGCTATTCACCGGTGAGTGTTTTCTTCAACTTATTAATATATAACTTCATTTGTCGGGACCATTGTTTTATTGAAGATATATAACTTCATTTTTGAGTAATATATTATATTTTGCAAAGGGCAAACAAAACCAGGGCTACTCACTGGGCATTTTTTTTTTAAATCTAGTTAACTCCTCAAGTTTAGTTACATTGTGCTCTACCCATGGTGGTTATCATTGTAAGATTCTTGCGCCTTTTTGAAGATTTTGAGATGCTGGATATGCCACTACAGGATGAGTAAAAAAAACAACGAAACCCAAATGTCGGGACCATTGTTTTATTGAAGTTCTGCATGTTGCACTTTCAAAATCTAGCATATAAAAGCCCAATTCATACGCTTTCCAATAGTACAAGAATCATTCAAATCACTTATATACTTTTCAAGTTACGGAATTTTAAATCACTTATGTACTTTTCAAGTTACGGAACTTTAAACACAACCACTGTTTTAAGGTTCTGTCCACGGATCACAACAAATGTCAGTGTTCTTTCAGCAAAACGAAAACAAATCACATAGGGATGTGTGTGAATTGTTTTTGGTTTGAACGCACACCTTTTTTGTGATCCGGGGACAGAACCTTAAAACGGTGGTTGTGTTTGAAATTCTGTAACTCGAAAAGTACATGAGTGATTCGATGTACCAAAAAAAGCTTATGAATTGGGCTTTCATATTCTAGATTTTAAAAGTGCTACATGCAGAACTTCCCTGAAACAATGGTCCTAACATTTGGCTTTCGTTTCTTTTTTACTCACCCTGTAGAGGAGAGCACCGCCAACCAAATGTGTTTGTTCTATTTTTTCGATGAAGGGCTGGGGAAGGGGCGTGCATCCCCTCCAGTATCCGAACAGTACAAAATGTATCTGATAACGTCCTAACTACATGTATGTCATGCCCTTGGGGGTGGACAATGGAAAACACTTTTTTCTTGGGTTGTCCCTTAAAAACTGCCGTGAATTGAAATTTAAGGACATCGCAAGAACTACGAGAAAAACAGTTCAAAAATAACGTCTATAAGTTGATGAAGGCTAGGGGATATACGTATACTCTGTTTAATTCTGAAGCAAAAAGCACTTGATGCAAGGTGTTTGTAAGCAACGCGCACCAGAATTTTAAAACGGAAAATCAATACGAGGAATAAAATGGACCAAAGTTCGAAATAAACATGCAGTTTGGTAACCCATTTTGAATTTTTTGAGGAAATAACCACTAAAGGTCACAAATATTACTTTGACGGACATAAAAATATCTCTTTCCTTACACACCTAAAACCTACGGAAATAAAAGTGCGCATAACGCAACTTTTGCCCCTCGCGTTGAAAAATGGCGCCGCCCATGGCAGAACGAGCGTCTGTTTTAGGTCAGTTGTTTACTTTGTATTACATTTGTCGCGCAGCATGCACACGTACTCTTCAGTTAGTATAGTCAGACCTAGACTTGGCCCACGTCTGGGTTGCGCTCGGTCTGTGCCTTTAGTAAATCCAGGCATAGCGCATACGTACGTCCGTACCACAGTATAACGCGCGCCCTCGTGCGTCGAATCCGGACAATTATGTTAAAAAGTACATGTACATGTTACTTTCAAGTGATGCTAACTTTTTTACCACATGTATTCCCATGCTCTGTACATGCACACACACACATGTACGTACGCATTGTTATACGGCACTGAAATGGAACGCGTGCTGAAGTGTACCTTGTCGTGCTCCTGGAAAGATGTGAACTAGTGAATTTTGTAAAAACAAAACAAACAAAAAACTAATTTTGTAGGACACCGACTTAAAGCAATTCCGACTGGAGTCAAATCTAGACAAGGCCTGGGCTTCATTGGGTAGGACGCATCTCAACTGGGTACAGAATCGGGGACTAATAGCTTGTCGTCAGCGATTGTTTTGTGTGATTTTGAGTTTAATAAATAAGCAGAGAACTCACCAAGACGGTATTTCCTGTGTCCGTGCCCGAATCCTTTATTTTACCTTACAGCCCCGATATTATAGGAATACGAAATTGCTCGGAAAATGTGTTGGGTTCCATTTTGCTATGACACCGCTGCTGTGTATTGCGTGCTGAGAGATTTTTCCCACTGAGAAATCATGTTGTGTGTAGAGCACGATGAGAAATTTGTATACATGCATGGGATGGAAACGTCATTGTCAGGGAGTGACGGTCATCCAAAAATTGAACAGAATTGTGGATTTTTGGTGATTAAAGTTCCAGAAAGTGAGTATTTATTAAGCGAAGATTAATTATAGATCCATATCAGACAATCTTACAGCTTCCTTTGATCATTGTATAAGCATAAACTTTACAAAAAGCTTCATGTGGGGAACCGAAGTATATGGGCTTGAAGTAAGTCTATAGCCGCTTTGGCCGCACCACAGCTGTGCGCAGTTGCGTAGACAACATGTAGTCCATAATTGGGATCATTATGTACGGTTTGTTTTATTGGGGGGAAATGGGTTAACCTTATATTTGACTACTTTCTAATTAGTAGTAAATTGTGGATAAAATAAACGAATTTTGAATGGGATCTGTTATTTAGATCCACTTACGTGTGTCTAGCAACGAGGGCACTAATACTGTGGAGACACTGTGATAGGGCGCGCGTTGTCATTCCTTTTCGGCTTTCACGGAAAACCGGCCAGCCAGAGATTCCACAAAAAGCCTCTTCTTTAACCCAACTAATCGTGGTCTGGTGGACATCCCTTACTGAAAGGATAATTTAACACTTGCTGATTGGTGAGTGACACTTTCCTTGACATTTTCCTGCCGTATTTTCATGAACGGCAGTGTTTTGTGTGCTCACCGAGCTCGCTTTCTCACAAAGAATAATGCGTACAGAGATTCATTATTGAGGCGACGTGCATAACTAGTATGTACATGTACATGTACAGTACATGTACATGTACAGTACATGTACATGTACATGTATAGTATATGTATGTGTGTGGGCTGTCACGAAAGTTCCTTGTGGGTGACCTTTGACCCGCGCTGTGTATTTAGCGAGTTCGTATAGTGTCCACCGCAGTCGCGTGTGCGCTGAGAGCGCACTTCGTGTGAAATACTTATTTGGGCAACATTTTAACACTTGCTGGATCGAGCACCTTTAATGTTTACTATCCAATGACTGTATGGAATGTGGTTTCTACAAAATGTAATTTGAGCCACCCGACCCTTACAACCAGCCCATTCACCCCTGATTAACCTCTGGCATGTCTGGAGTATCTCTCAGGCCCCAAACAGCCGTTAAAACCACAGACATAACCCCATTTGACATTCCATTTTGGTCACAGGGGTGATCGAAATAATCCCAATGTATATAGTGCATTTGTACACAAGCCTATGTAAATGTGCACAAGCACACAGGGTTTTCCCGCCAATTTTCAACCCCTCCAGTATGATCACAAGACTGACACCCCCTCTGAAGGATGTAGTATGGTCCATACTACGATCTGGCGATAGATGGCCCCGGGTGTGTTTACCACGTGGCCAGGACAATATAAAACATAAAAATGTGTAGAGTCAATATTCCCTCCTGAATCCAGGTAAGGTCTGAATATTAAGTTGGGGATTGTTTAGATTAATAAGTACACTGTAAAGTGTGAGTCAAAAAATATACACTTTTGAAATTGGCCATTGTTTTATTCTGTAGCAATATAGATAAGATATTTGCATATGTACTTTTAGAGTAACTCTTCCTGCTTCTTTTGGTGACATTTTCACAGGATTAGTTTTCATGCATGACTGCACAGGAGACAATTAAAGGGGTCAGGTGAAATCTGACTTGCGCAAACTGGTCAGGGCTGGATAAGAATGACACAATTTAAAAGAACACAACCATTGTCTTGGTTCTGGTCATGGAATGCATAATCAGTTCAGATTTGTGGATCTTGCTTGCAAGAGTTTCAGTAGGCAAATCTGGATGACCTCCAGGAAAGGATAACTCGTGAAATTGACATTCTTAGACAAGACAGGGAGGTGATTTGCTGTGTTGTTGCAGGAATGATGCGTCGTGCCCAGCTGTGCATTGAACGAGATGGTGGCCATGTTGAGTACTAAGACACCGTGGAATTTATATCTTATCTATATTGCTACAGAATAAAACTATGGCCAATTTTAAAAGTGTATAGTTTTTTTTAGACTCGCACTGTATTGTTGTGCTGTACCACTGTAGGATTTATATTGTTTTAACAGATTGTGTCAGTCATTTGGAAGAAAGCCTACAGGTTAACATCACATCAGGCAAAGCCTGCTGGGTATGGAGAAAATATTGGAAATCATAATTATCAATCCTTGTATTTTATAACTGTATTAATTACCACTGATTGTAATTATTTTATAGTAATGGGTGCACTTTTTAATAAATGGATCATGTCTTTCTCTGTCCTTGCAGGGGTTCCTTTGTCTTTTATATTTGTCTTGAGTTTTTGGAGGAAAATAAATCCCATGGTGAAAACAGTTCATGCGTCTCCTGGATTCAGGGATTGTCTGCTACCCCCCCCCCCCCCCCCCTGTTCGAGCACACGCCGGACAACCCCAGTGCACGCCCCTGCGTGTTACTACATTCACTTACAAATTTAGGCTTTCTGCGTAAATGTGTTACCACGTATAGAACTATGTATTTTCACAGTGCAGGCAGAACGTGCAGTCACCACTCACTTTATGAGACACCGTTAAGGCTTTACTGACCGTTGGGTAAGGTTTTAATTTATTATTATTTTTGAAGGCAACTTACACTGTGTCTAGAACCCAGATATGATTATTAAGCTTTGTGTATCTATGTAGTAAATGGGCAATACTATTTTTTCGTTTCATAATTTTTTCTGTTTTCCTAGCATCTTTGAATAAACATGAGAAGTCACTGATTGGTGTCCAGCTTCATCCATCTTTAATGAGTGGACGGACCCCAACCCTAGAATCAAAGTAGGGCAGACCACCACATTACAATACTCTAAAATAAAATTGTGACCAAAGGGTCCAAGACATTTTCATGATCTTAAAAACAAAAATGAAGTTCCACGTACCGTGGGTTTGGGCATCTATGTTCTGTGCACCAGCACCATAGTTGTGGTCTTGTTGACCTTTGCTGTAAGGTACAGCTGTCTCGGGAGGTACGTAAGGTTCGGGAGCTTGAACTTCTTCCACATCATACGTAGGCCTGTCGCCAATGGCTGGTGAAGTGGAAGAAAGTTTACCACATATTATATTCATCCCGATTTGTTCGGTGGAAATCATGGGTGTTATTACAGAATCCCCCGAATAGAAGGCCCCGGAATGGTACATGTTGTCAGACACTGTATGTGAAATCCCAAATCAGACAAAATTATAGGACAAATAAACTGTAAATTCCACAAATTATTTTAATTCAAAATATCACCAAAAATATTAATATACACCCAAACTACCCCCGAAATGCGTGAGTTTTTTTCTGCATTCATTAGGACGTTGATCCCAATGGTCCACTATTGACGATCGTGTACAAAACAATTGGAGGTCTTCCGAATTACACACTTATGAGTTTGTTTCTGCACTCAATAGGGGACGTTGAACAATAGAGAACAATAGGGTCCGCAATTCTCGAGAGGTCCCCAGTTTGGATTCATGTACAAAACATATGGGAGGTCTTCCTAAAAAGTACAAACAAAAGAGGGACAATAGGGGTCCCCGACTGCAGGTAAATGCACGGTTGGGTGCTTGCGTGCTATAGTTGTGGTGCAATTTTGACGGCCCTGCATCCGATTTGACGAAGCGCTGCGACGCGTAGCAACCCGGGTTACGACGTGTAACACGGCGCAAATCGCGACGCATCGTACTGTACGATTCATTTCACGAAACTGGCGACGTGTTGAACGTGTCGTAAGTTCATTGAGTTCGGCTTAAAACACGTCGCAAGTTACGAAGTATCAAGTTTAAATGTATCTAAAGAAGTTTTTACGGAAAACATGCAAGCTCGTGGTGGACTGTTAACTACTTTAACATTTCAACTGCAAAATTGGGTTGGTTTGGATTGGGTTGGTTTATTAAAGCTGTAGTCCATCATTTGCAGCTTTCCAAAAAGTGACTGACGTAATTATTGTTGAAAAACGTACTTGGTTGAAAAATAGTAAGGGGACTAAACTCCCTGTGAAATTATTCTTTCTGGCATGCTGTCATTTTGAAGAAATCAATGAAAGAAGGCCTTTCCAACGGTGCTTCTTAAGACGCACCGTTGGAAATTTCCGTTAGTAGTTCGTTTTTATTCAGCGAAGCGCGCGCAAGCGTGACACGACGCACACGCACGCGCGCAGTTGCTCTAATTCGTCGGATCAGTGCGCGACATCGCGTAGCTGCATTCGGCTCAGTAAGAACGGGTCTCGAGCGCGGAATTCAGGCCCAATTCAAAACATGATTCAGCAGCTTTTGATTTGAAATCGAGATCCTAGAATGCTGTTTTTCTCGAAATATACAGCTGAAGCTGAGCTGAAACTTCATCAGGTTAGTATCAGCAGCCTTCTTCAGATTTTGTGTAGGTGTGTTGCTTCAAACGAACAAAATGCACAAATTACAAATGATGGACTATACCTTTAATGGTCCTTCGCGGCCACATACCGAATTGCGAACACATTTACAATAAAAACAATCTTATGTAAGAGAAATGATACAAGAAATAATCATATTCAAGGTTAATTCATATTCACGTCGATCCATTTGCCATTTGCCAGTCATTTGAACGACTTTGAGTTTAATAAAAAGCAGAGAGTAACAAGACGGTATTTTCAGTTTCCGTACCGGAATCCTTCAGTAACTTCTGGCTTCTGATATGAATGCAATCAGTTTGAGCGTGTTTTGATTTGTACAACTTACCTCTGATGAGACGTGATGAGACGCTCTGAGTACGGCGATCAGCAAAGGCTACGCCCAAACACACAAGGAGAACGACGAATGTCTTCATTGTACCGCAATGCTTAACATAAGAAAGAAGAGAGGGGATGTATAATTTGTCAATTACTGAGCCGTACTTGGATGTCAAAAAATAATGACACTGAATTAGACGCGTATAATTATATGAAAACACGTCCGGTTCATGGTAAACGTTGAGACCTGAATAAGCTGGGTATATTCCAACATACTGCTAGTCTATTTATAGTAGTTTGTCTTTTAAAGTGTTCTAAGCAGACACAAACTACTCATCAACTGTACATTAATGCATTCGTTCTCCTTTCAAGTGGCGGGTGCGTCCTTCAAGGACGTACAGTCATCATTCGTATCAAGATGTGCTTTAATATCGTTATTATACTGCTTGAAATTTCAAGCACCAAAATACCCTATGATACGGTGTGTGAGTGTTTTGTGCGACGCTTTCAATGTTTCAGCAATTTATTTAAAGCTATAGTCCATCATTTACAGCCATCCAAAAAAGTACCTGGCGTATTATTGTTGAAAAACATACTTGGTTGAAAGATAGTAAGTGGACTAAACTCCCTGTGAAATTAATCTTTCTGGCAAGCTATCATTTTGAAGTAATCAACGAAAGAGGGCCTTTCCAACAGTGCGTCTTAAGACGCACCGTAGGAAAATTTAAATTAGTAGTTAGTTTTGTTATTCGGCGCAGCGCGCGGAAGCATTGGCACGACGCACAGGCGCGCGCGGATCAGTGCGCGACATCGCGTATAGCTGCAATTCAAAACAATTCAAAACATGTTTCAGCAACTTTTGATTTGAAATTGAGATCCTAGAATGCTGTTTTTCTTAAAATATACAGCTGAAGCTGAGCTGAAACGTCATTCAGTATCCTTCATTAGATTTTGAACACTTTTGTTGCTTCAAACGAACAAATTGCACAAATTACAAATAATGGACTATATCTTTAAGTGTAGTTGGGTTAAATGTTTGCCTAAAGTGTGGGGTTTTTCTTGTCCCCGTTACATAAACAATGACTTAAACCCTTTTTTGCTGGATAGGTAGTTTGCCATTCATAATTTCTTTTGGAGGACTGAATTAAGAAGTGCTCCAGAGTGATAAATTAATCAATGTTCCGACTGCGAGTGGGTATATCGGCACATAATGAAACAGTCGCTGTATTAATTTCACACAAAATCTGATTGAATAGCTCCGTGCTACGCGTCCTCTCCAGAGGGCTAAATAAGCTTTAAATAAGCTGAAATCCTAAGTGTTAAAAGTACTTACATGACTGTTGAGGAACAGGTGGAAATGTGGTATGGAATGCTTTCTTTTGTTTTCTCAGCTGATCTTCTCTGAACGATGCATCAAAGCAGCATGCGCAGCATGTTTTATAATTTCAAATGACCTTGGTGAAAGGCGCATTAGCACTTGTCGAACAGCGAGTGACAACGGATAACCAATGGGAAACACTCACCGGTGAACAGCGTACTTGCACGGTATAGCCAGATGATAGTTGCAACCATAAAGGAATTGTGTGAATAATAGATCAGAGAGCTCATGAATCCATGCGTTCTATACGGAGACCGGTGGTCGACCGCCCCTCGATGATCGCACCGATCGTACAGCAATTAAATAACTCCGTGCTTCCATGCACCGATACTTTCCTTGTCATATCGTGATACCCGTGTGCAATACCAGGTGCACAATATTCTTCCACATTACCGCCAGAACGATCCATGTAAAATATCCAGGGTGACCTGAAAACATGCAACCCTTAAACAATTGCCTTTATAAAAGGGGGGGGGATCTTTGGATTTTTTTATTTTGGGTATCAGATTAAAGCTGTGAATTGTTTCTTTCAAATACTGAAACAGTAATGAAAATAGCATTTTGGGTTGCCGATATAATGCCACTCATGTAAAAGTATAGTCATTTTTATCCTGTACACCAAAAATAACCAAACTAATGGATTTTCACGGTACCTATTTGTTCATGTCTTAATCTTTACAAACAATACAAGAGTAAAAATTAGTTTTGATGGAAATACCTTTTTTTCTCACCTGAAAAGGTATCTTATCTTTTATAGTCCTATTTTTAACCTTTTCAGCATCATAAATATGTCATACAGCCTGTCTCAAAAAAAATGGTACAATCGAAAACGATTTTTCAATATTAAATCTCAACATAAGTAAGTCGTTTTGAGCATCACATTAAAGGGAAAAAAAAGGTTTTCCAATACTTTTTGTGTCATCACATTTACTTTTGTCAATCCAGAGATAACTCCAGTTTACTGCGGAACACAAAAATCGAGTTTGTGCCACAGTACTCGAAACAACTCTGCTCATGCATAAAAGTGGCACAAAATCGAGTTTGGTGTATCGCACTAACTTGATTATATCTCTGAATTGACCAAAGCAAATAAGATCAAACAAACACTATTGGAAAGCCCAGTCTTTGTTCTTTAATATTATGCCAAGTAAGAATGACTTATTTTGAAATTTCATATGTAACCAATTTTTTTTTTCTGATTGTACCATTTTTTTTTTTAGACTGGCTGTATATTAAAGAAATTTAACAAATGAATGATAACTGCACAGTAGGCTTACGGTAAAATGTTTCACTGTTTGAAGTACTTGCGTACAGGATGCAAAATGACTACTTCTACATAATTGGCAATTTCTCAGCAAACCAAAGTGCTATTGTCATGATTTTTCAGTATTGAAAAGAAAAAGCTCTAAGCTTTAATCTGATACCCAAAACATAAATCCACCGATCCGTTGTTTTTTAAGGCAATTGTTTTAGGGTTGCATTTTTTGGGGTCACCCTGTATACTGTGGGCGGTGGTCGTAGAAAATACCAACTTTCAGCGTCGGCTCACTCGTTGTGCACAGTATTATGTCGCTCACTCGTTGTCCACAGTATGTACACGTACAGCTGTAATATTATTGGCCTGACTGCATCCTACGCATTGTTTATTTACCCGGTCCGATCAGATAGCGCTGTTTCCCTAATACATAAAGGCGCTTTTCAAGACATCATTATTATATCGCTTATATCATTCACCCACTAAACCTACCTGCTTGTAAAGTTCGGAATGGATTTTTGCACGTTATTAGTCTAAATATCGCTACATGTTGAAAAGACCATAGGCCATCGACCATATCGACCATAGGCACTAATTGAACCTAGACACTATTGTATACACTACATATTGCTTACCCACGGTTTTACTCACTGTAACAAATTTAGAACTAGAAGATACCATTTGCTATACAATCATTTATTTTTAAATTAGAATTAATTAAAATTAAGATTATTTTGATAATCTTAATTTGTGAATGTGTAACTATTAGAGGACCCTCTGGAGATCACTCCTGGTTGCAACATGGAGGTTGAACAACCACCTGCCTCTAGCTGGAGAGGAAGCGCTTAATTAGTTGCTGTCTACATGGTGAGTAACAAAAAACGAAACCCAAATGTCGGGTCAATTGTTTTAGTGACGTTCTGCATGCAGCACTTTCACAATCTGGGATTTAAAAACCCAATTCATAAGCTTTCTGTGAGTATAAGAATTATTCAGTTCACTCATGTACTTTTCAAGTAATTTTAAACACAACCACTGGTTTAAAGTTCACGGATCACCAAAAAAGGTGTGCGTTCTTTCAGCAAAACGAAAACATTTTCTTATGTGATTTGGTTACATTGCTGAAAGAACACTTACCCTCTTTTGATCCGTGGACATAACCTGAAAAGTACATGAGTTATTTGGATGATTCTTGTACTAAAAGAAAGCGTACACTCTAAAAAATAGTTGCTCAATATTGGGTAAAATTACTACCTTTTCGAGAGTAAAAAGGGAACATGGTCGTCAACTTGTGTACTTTTTTACACAACAGCTAAAGTGTAGAAAAGTACTCATTTCAGTGTAACTTTTACCCATAATTGTGTTACGTGTTTGCACAACAAAGTTGGGTAAGAAAGTTTACCCATGTGACGACCATGTTCCCTTTTTACTCAATTATTGGGTAAACTTTGCCCAACCCTCCTTTTACCCAAGTGTTGTGTCAGTTTCTTACCCAGATATTGGGTTCTAATGTTTACCCTGCATTGTTGGGTACTAAATTTACCCATCACTTGGGTTGTTTTTAAATTAGTCGTTGTGTACCTTTGTTATTGACCCTTGCGGTTTTATTCAACTTTGAACTCTGCAATGTGAATTGCATGCTAGAGACAGCAATCGCGAGGGATTTCAATAACTGAGTCCTGGGTTGGAAAGTCAGTAAATGAATAAGATCATATTTTCCCAAATATGGTGCTGATGCATGAGGACTATTACGAGGAGCGTGGGCTAAATGATGGGCAGGGGTGTTAGAATTTCCCTCAATCAACTTATTCAAAAACAATTCCCCAAACGTCGGTCACTTTACTCCGTGTTTCTTGATCTGAGAACACTCACTATACGGTACATGAAACGCATGTATCATGTGCATGGAATCGCGGTTGGCAGAGCCGTGCCAAGTTGCAAATAAATGTCTAAATAATAAGCATGTCACTTCTCCAATCTCCCCGATATTAATCATCATGCATCAGCATCCCATTTCACTGACTTACCGGGAACAACCTAATCATGTCTTCAAAATCCCCAAATTGTTGAAGGTCTCACAAGCGGCGGCCATCTTGTACATGAGTGATGACGCGTGCACAATTTTGGGTAAACGTTATCACGTGCGTCAGATTACCCCACACAGTAGTAACATTTTACTAATGTCGTGGTAAATTCTACTCTTGCGCGTGTACAATGAAAGAATTGTTACACAGTGGTGGGGTAAATCCAGTTTCCTTAACCCATCACTTGGGTAACATTTTAACTTTTTGCCTGTGCTGCTGGGACTTGTAGTTAACGTTGGGTACTATATTACCCTTTTCATGTGTAACACATTTGACACAAGTAGGAGGTACAAGCGAAATTTTCATTTTGCTCAATATTGGGCAGAAATGACACAATTTTTTTACACAACAGTTTTACACAACATAAATTTACACTTCTTTTTTAGAGTGTATGAATTGGGCTTTCATTTCCTAGATGTTAAAAGTACTACATGCAGAACTTCACTAAAACAATAGTCCCGACATTTGGATTGAAAATTAAATTTACAATTTTAAGGTTTTTATTGTCAAAACTCCCCCGTAATTCGGCGTATGGTCGGGACAGAATATAAATATTAACCATTCAATTGAAAATGTATTTCAACTCAATATTACCTGCGTATTATACGCAATCAAGCACGCATTGCGCAGTATTGAAAATGTTCCAAACTCGCGCGCTTGTTGCTCGAAATGTGTTCGAAACTCGATGCATCCGTTGCGCAATATCCGCTCCGTTCACAAGTACCTCCTCAACGGCAAAGCAAGTACAGTTAGGGGTGACCGACCGACGCCATCTTCGCGTCATGGTGCGTATTGTAGATCCCCTGGTGTACGTGCGTCACACACAAGGAACGGTGCGCGTCAACCAGCGAAATGTCCCGCCCATGGGACGTCGTTTCCAGGTAAAAGGGCGCCCTCTGAAGTCAGCGCGCGGAGCCCATGCAAGTTGACGCTCAAAATACCGATGCACGTGGCTGGTCTGTAGGAAATGACGTCATTTGAACGAGACCTTTTAATGCTGCAGTCATTGGATCAATGGCTGCAGTTGACATCACATGCGCTCAACCACCATAATACGCGTTCGTGTGCAACACAGTTGCTATGCGGACATAGCGTGCATACGCGCGCGTAATAAGTCTCAGCAGGATCATAGATAAGCGCACGGCATGTTAATACAGGGGCTACCTGCACCGGCCCTGCTCGTTGTGTCGAATCCCTTGGGTGTGGCGGCCATGCCGTACCGCGCTGCCACACAGCCATAACAATACTGAGGAAGTTTAGGACCGTAAACGTGAACCTGCGACTTGTTTTCCGCAAACACGTCTCCCACGGACACATTCACTTTTTTTCTATACTGAGCTTTTTCCCTTAGGAAAAAAAATATGAATAACATGGGCTAGGGTGAATATAACAAAGCATATTGAACAGACAGAATACCAACCATAAGCTAAAATATGGCCCCTGAACATGAACACAAAACGTTAAACAGTCGTCCTCCAAGAGTGCTAGTGAAAAGTAAACTACCCTCCCCCCCCCAAAAAAAAAGCTCGTTTGAAGACATTGTTGATCTCACTGGAATGATAACGGGGATCAAAACAATATAGACCCCAAATGTATAACATTTTCCAGGTACACTGAAATAAAGTACCGTACCGAAACTTTGAAATTATCTCGCATTCTGGCATGTTGGTGTTTGACGTTCAGACAGCAGGATTCCAAAAACATATGTGTATACGTATGATGACTGACTCCCTGAAGGACAAAAAGTCACTAGAAAAGTATTGCCAAAATGTAGAGTTGATTGTCTCATGTTTCTTTAAGAAATAATACGACTAGAATTAGTGGTATATTGGGGGAGAAAAAGTTTATTCAGGACTCCATCTTTACCATAAACAAGACTTTTTTTTGCATATACAGGGCGTACAAAAAATGGTTATCCAAAATCAATCGACTAAATCGTAATAGTAAGGAAAGTGTTGACTGTTTGAAAGTGGTTTAATTTTTAACGGTAGCTGCAACTTCAGCTCGTCTACCTATGTTATTGCGAACAAAAGTTACAGGTTGGATGAGCACTTTGTGGTCGGCCTGCATTTGTTGTCGGCCCTGTATAATTACGGGATTACATATGATTCGTTGTCACGCTTGTGGTGTTCATTTGGCTGACGTTCCATATTATAGTTGGGGCTGCAGAGATGAATTACAATTTGAATTGAATGGTTTATTAATATTCTGTCATGGCCACACGCCGAATCCTGGAAATATTTACCATAAAACATTAAATTTTTAAATTTAAAATTGCCAGCTCAAGAGAAGTACAAAGCCCCAATTGGACCGACAGGATTATACCGATCTTCCTTCTGTTTTACTGGAGTGAGTTTTGGGAGTAAAGCATAATATTTACACCCACATACAGGTGAAGAGTTGATTTACATTTGAATCGAATGGTTTATTAATATTTTGTCAAGGCCATACGCCGAATCCCAAAAATATTTACCATAAAACCATTAAATTTTAATATTGCCAACTCAAGAGAAGTACAAAGCCCCAGTTGGACCGACAGGATTATATCGATCGTCCCTCTGTTTTACTTGAGTTATTTTTTTAAATAAATGCATTACATTTGCAACTACATTCTGCTGAAAAGTTGAATTACATTTGAATTGAATGGTATGTTTATATTCTGTTGCGGCAATACATCGAATTGTCGAAATATTTACAATAAAAATATTACAAGCTGAGCAAAGTCTATTCTGTTGAAACAATTAATATAACATAAAAAAGAAGCTCTCTCGGATCTCGGAAGCTGTAGTAGGGTCAGGGAACCAGACTACAAGAACCCATTGTTTTCTTGGTTCTTGGCCAATGTAACAATATTTGCAATAACAAGCTAAATCCATCCATTTCTGAAATTTACAGCAAAAGCAAACGTTGTACATTACCTTTAATCGGAAAGAAAATTTAAAAAGTAGGATATAGTCACCCATAAAACTATATCCTTTAACGAATGGGTGCTTTTGAAGTATTCCTTTTGCGGACGTGTAAGAAATCACATATTGTGCATTGGTGATTGGTCACCGCTGTTCGTGAGCACGGTGCTGTACGTGTGTAATACTATAGACACACACAACGTATATCGTACATTGAAAGAAAACGACAGGAAACACGTATCATACTCCGTCGTGCGCAATGTAAACAATCATGTGTTTTTTGTCGTCTTTTCTCGGGAACGGCAAGATATTAGGTTGGTTTCCTTTCAACCAGATGTTTGAAATAGGATAAGTAAACAATCCAAAACATACAATTTTCGGGGATTTCAGGACGCAGTAACCCTTTAATGATTTGGGGTACGATGTGTCCTGTAGTTGCATTAAAATCTAGCTAACAATGAGGGCGTACTTTACGAACCCATTGTGATAGGGCACGCATGTGTTCACTGCGCAAACTGGCCAGTCACGCTCCGCTAGTATACGCAAAAAAGTCTGTATTTTGGGCAGAAATCTCCTTCTGTTGTTGGAGTTGACTTATTGAGAGGACAATTGAGACGATTGCTGACTGGTTAGTGGTATGTCCCTGATATTATCTTGCCTTATTTTCATGAACGGCAGTGTTTTGTGTGCTTGCCAACTCACCTTTTGATAGTGCTAGAGAGATGCATTATTGACGCGAAGTGCATTAACTTCAAGTATGGGTGGACACGTGCAGTGCAAGTGCTGTCACAAGTTACGGTTCCTCGTGGTGACCTTTGACCTGCACTTTGTATTCAGCACGATAGTTTAGTCTCCACCGCAGTCGCGATGTGCGTTTAGGGCGCAACTTGCTAGAAATAATATTTTGTGTAACTTTGAACTGAGTTTTTGGGAAATGTTAGTAAAAATTGTACACGGTGTATTGTTCTGCTGTGCCGTTTCAAAATGTGTATTGTTTTGACAGATTGTGTGAGAAATGCAGTGTTTCATATTTGAGCAGGCCTGCGTAGACTACATGCAAACCGCGCGTGTACTGCGGCACTATTGTTGGGTAAGCAGAAACTATGATGATTGTCACTCCTTATACTTATAATATAATTGGATGAATTACCATTGAATGTAATTAATTTAAGTGGAACGCTCTGATTAACAGAACATGTCACATAACGTCTGTCTCTGTCGTTGCAGGCGTTATTGGGTTTTGTCCTTTGCTATCGTGCTTCTGCATTTTGTCCGCACTGTTGTGTAATTGTGTAATTGGAGGGTAATAAAACTGTGGAATCTGGAAACCAGGTGTTCTGACATGCGTCTCCTTAATTCAGGGATAGTCCCCTCCCCCCCCCCCCCATTCATGCATATCTCTACAATTCTTTTACATATCCAATTACATTATAAGGAAATAAATGTGTGCTTGGGGTTGTTAAACACTATGTTTAAGACTGGCTGGAGTTTAGATGCTGATAACTACCCGGGGCAGGCGTGGATCCAAGGAGGGGGGGGGGGGGGGGGCGGGGGGAGCAATGCCCCCACCCCAGCTCTGACTGAATGTTTTTTTCATTAAATCTATTAAAATAATTTGAACCTTCCCCCCCCCCCCCCCCCCCGCTCTGACACCAAAAATAATTATGACAATTATACTGGTAATAATGTCCGCCTGTGCACATTTAGACTGAGACAGCTTGGGTATGGGGTAATGTGTACACTATTCCGTAATAATTTATAGTGTTCATGAACAAATATGGAGTACATTCAGTTTTTACTCTGGCGACACAGGCTTGACTTTTTTCCCAGAGTAATTCACTTTTAAATTGAAGTGATTTTCACTCTAAAGCGGCTAGTCCCAAGTTTCAGTTTGTGGAATTAGGGGAGATCAAAATTATTGTAATTGGACGATATGTTTGCACGTGACCTGCAGACGTCGGGGGCACGTTTCATTTTAAACCGATTAGAATTGGTCTGTACTAATGGTGATATGTTGCATCTCGCTTTTTAGCCTTTTCGAAGTCTGGCGACTACAATATGAGGGCGCTATTTCAAGTGTGGGTAAAGAGTTGATACACACCAAATTGCTCTTTATATTGTGTCGTTACGTCTCCGTTAAAAACGTTCATGCAGACACGCCAGTTAATGGCAGCCATTTCGAACATTTTGCAAATTGCTTTCTTTTTTGCCGATATTTTTTCAATGGACAAATGAGCGATGGCCATATAGCCGAACATCGATCTGAAAACATACTCAGACTGTTTGCCAAATGCCATGCTTGTATCATCAACCAATTATTAGACACAATTCCCCCCAATATTTTCCCCGTCTGCCCCATTAAGTCAGTATTTTGTATTGATTTGAAATTTCGTGAAGTGGTCAGTTCTGATGTGTAACATTTGGAGGTTCAATTTCTGGAGAAACCGTCAAACATTTGAAACAAAATGACCTAAACAATAATATATAATGTTTTTAACTCGAAAAAAACGATCCAAATCAATGTCGCTTTTGGAACAAACGCAACACTTAATTTTGCAAAGGAAGATAACCGAAGAAGAAGCCAGTTTACTGAATTTGAAGTTCCTTTGTTTCACTATTTCGCAAGGGCATTTTAACCGTTCACTTTTGTCAACTTTTCTGTCTTTTTTTTCTCGCACGGAGACAACGTACTGGCGGTCTACTATGATTTTCTGTCAAAAGAGGGCGATCCACTGTGGCCACCGCTACTGACAAAGCGTCAACATGCCTCACAAGCATTATTGAACAAAAAAAAATGGTTTTTTTTTCGGGCAATTACTTAAAAAATACCAGATGTATTATATTGACATTTTATCCAGTAATTTTTCCCGATGTGTCACATTCGGAAATTAAATTTCATGAGAACTCGCCTAACGACAAACATATAATGTGACCGAGACAATTTAGTGATCTAATCGTTTATTGCACAATTTTGTGCACTAACCCAAGAAATACGACTTGTATTATTCAAACTGCAACGGCGCAGCGCGCAGCTACATCGCGCAGTATGCGCAACGTGCGCGCCAATCTCGATGTAAGGGAGTTGTCTACGACTACTCGCGAGAGAGACATACCATAACATTGCTAAAGGTTATTTTTTTGGAAAAACATGAGGTAAAATTGTTTAACTAATAAATTGTGGAAACTTTAAATGTTTGACTTGTTTTGCCTTTTCGACGGAAACATTTGGTCATTATGAGCGTCGAGACTCAAAGCTGGTCTTAAACATAGTGTTTAAAATCGGCCAAACACACATTTATTCCATTATAAAGACAGCTTACCAGTTCCTCATTAAGCGGTATGCAGGTCCTGGGGCCCATTGAAATCGCACAAACTCAATTGTCCCAAGAACTCAGTCTGAATGATATAAACCAACCCACACTTTCTTCTGTAATTTTGGGGACATACACTTATCTGTACGAGGTATTTTGTGGGGACCGAAGACGCTATCGTGACAGCAGAATGTCCCCATAACTTAGTCCTAATTTGCCTAATAATAAAAATAAAAAAGCCTTCCTCATATCGTGGTGTCAGCCTACCCACAAACAACCATTCATCTGTGTATTTACCTGCCACCCATACTGTCCCTCTTTGTTTGTACTTCCAAGCTTAAAAAATAAAAAAAAACTTCGGTGACATCCTTAAAATGGAAATATATTTGATTGAACAGTGTTACGAAAGAGGAGAGATGTGGTATGGAATGTTTTCTCTTGTTTTCTAAGCTGATCTTCTCTAATGGTGCATAAAATCATCATCTGTAATTTCACATGGCCCTGGTAAAAGGGGCATGCGCATGCAATTGTCGCCATAACCGTGACAACTGGATAACCAATGAGAACACAAAAATTGAAACGCTCAGTTAATCAAAGAGTGATTAATGTAATTCCAGGCGCTCCAAAAGAAACCTAAGGATAATACAAGTAGTACTTTTGTAATATGTCGTCTGCTTTTATCAAAGTGTATATTTGTGTGGTTTTTGTTGTTGTAATGTTATGTTAATTGTTTCAAAGGAATACACTTTTAAATGGTAAAGTTGTTATTGTAAATAATTCCGCAATTCGGCATACGGCTGCTACAGAATATTAGTAAACCATTCAATTCAAGTTTGATTCAACTCTTAAGCTGGATTTAAGGCCTAATTGAAAACACAGTGTTTTTAGTCAATAAATATGCATCGTCATAAAACTCCAGTAAACCAGATGGACGATCGGTATAATCCTGTCTGTCCAACGGGGCTTTGTGCTTCTCTGTAAGTGGGAATATTACATTTTAAATTTCAATGTTTTTAATTGTAAATATTCCCGTACTTCGGCTAATGGCCGGGACAGAATGTTAATACACCATTCAATGCAAAAGATAAAAGATACCGACTTCAAGAACAAGCGATTAGAAATGGCCCCTGAACCAGCATTGATCCAGCATCACGTGAGCCAATGATTGGCTTTCATTTTCTTTCGCTATAACAGCAGAACTTAACCCTGGACGTCAGTTGTAGTGCAATGGACACGTCATCCAACCTTTGCTAGGGTGATTGCAACAAAAACAATTAAAGAAACAGTTAGGATACCACGCATAATTTAAAACATGGCTTCTGAAAATGAACAAAAAAAGTCTGGACATATTGCTGGAGGAAAGGTCACACAATTGTGAGCATTTCAACTGTTTATTTCGGTAAAAAGGTATATCAAATTAGGTTTTGCCCTTCATCGACGTATAAATACTGTATACTCAGTGTGTTACCTCCCGAGTGAAAAAAATCGCTCCGGTGATTACAGTGTTTAAACGTCGATGAAAGGCAAAACCTAATTTCAAAATTCCATCTTATGAATGGTTAAAAAGGTATTTGTTATAACACTATCTTGGTTATCCAGTTGTCAACGTCATCGACATTTGCGCATGCCCCGTTTCCATTGGAGGTCAGGCCTATAAAAGTGCTGCGCGTGATGCTCTGTTGCATCTATCAGAGACGACCAGCTGAGAAATTAAGAAAAACATTCAGCATTCCTTACTGCTTCTCAACTGACAAGTAAGTGCTATATAAATTACATTTCGTTCTTACGCAAACAAGTATTTGTCTCTCGCTTTAGACTTGATACTCGTGAGCAGAATTATAGTTTTCACAAGCAAAATAGGGCTTCTGAAAAGGTGCCGTTGGTAAAATAATAAAGCAACTCTCGAATTATGTCCCAAACAAACCCAGCCTGTGCCACGTTCGACCTACGTGACCAGTCATGTACCAACTCGCGGTCGGATTGTTAATTTGTTTTTAAATTCCGGATGCAGTTCTTTAAACAGTCGTCACCCATTATTATGAGTAGTAAACTACTTCCCTAAATAAAAGCTCGTTTGAAGACATTTCTTATCTTACTGGAGTGATAACGGGGCTAAAAAGTATATCATATTTTAGACCCCAAATTTGTAAAATATCTCAGGTACACTTCAATAAAGTGCCGTACCGAAATCTTGAAATTATCTCGCACACTGTATCATTATGGCATGTTGGTGTTGGACGTTTCAGACAGCAGATTCCATAACATATGTTTATTACGTATGACGACTGACTGAAGGACAACTTGGGTCACTGGAAAAGTATTGCCTAAATGTAGATTCGATTGTGTGATATCTCTTTAAAAAACAATAGGACAAGATATGGTAGTAAATTGTGGAAGAAAAGAATTCATTCAGGACTTTACCTCTAGAAGTGATTCTCACTCTAAAACTTCTTGTCCATTATTTCGCTCTGGAGAATTTCGTGAGTAGTTCAATAGATGCAGCTTTCACTTGATGACTGAGCGCCTTTGATTGCGACACAAAGGCAAATAAACCTCTTTTTCCAAGTTTGCCGAATATGTGCTGATTGATTCAAAGCTGTCGGGAGAATGCGCTGTCACCGTGAACAGTGCATTGTTGTATAGAATGGTACATAATCATGTTGTCCGTGAACGATCGATCTTTCCAGGGATTTTGATTATCACCAGAAAGCCAAACTTCTACTTTTATCCAAGTTTACCTGAATCATTGGCAAATCGGGCTTTCCAAAAGAAAGTGCGTAGTTGCAGTGGATTTAATAAGTGTTGAGTGTGAGAAGAGAGACATGTTAAAAGTAAAATGGCGTATCATGTTCCATGATTTAATAAATCAATCATTTCAAAGATATTTTGTTTACTCATTAAAATAACGACCAACTAAAACAGAAGTGTACTCAAAACTAAATAGCTTTGGCGTTTGCCCAACTTGGCATTACTTTGGCTCTGCCTATTACTAGCTATTTTTTACAGATTTGTGATATGCCATTGCTAGTTTGTGATGAAACAGAAAAGCTTTGGAATGATTAATAATTTATGGACAACACAGGTGCCATTTTATGCAACACCATCTCCAAATCACAGCCCTTTTAACGCACTGTTCCGGGAAAAGGGAAAAGGGTTTGGACCTTTGCTCTGCAGTCAATGGTGGTCAGTTATCTTTGTCTAAAGAGGTGCAATTAAATTAAAAGCTTATGAACTAACCTTTAAAATGAAAATACTTTCTACAATTTGTATAAGGATTACCTTATTTGGCAAACCCTGCACATTGAGGAGTCAGTGTTGTAGATGTATTTTGTTGTCTGCCGAGCACTGCCGTAGTAACGTCTCCATTGAAAAAAGGAACCTCTTTTAATTTCTTTTTTTTATGTCAAGCATTTCGGCAAGATGAAGACATTCAACGCTGTGGTTCTCCTTGTGTGTTTGGGCCTAGCCTATTCCAAGGAACTCCATCATAAACCCCAATATCTTACTCGTGGAGAACACCGGTCCCTTCGAACAGGTATAACTCACGAATTTACCGGTCCAAACCATCAGGAACAGGATGATGACGATCGTGACAGTGATGCAGAGGACGCTTCATTTAGAGGTTCGTGTAAACTTAAAGAGCGTGTTAATACAACTGATAACGTAGTAACTAACGGATAACGTAACACCAACCGGTAATGCCACACAAATTGACCGATATCACTAACCGATAATAGACCTATAACACAAATTGACTGAAAGTGTTATAAATTGTCTACACTTTCAGTACATTTTTGTTACATATCGGTTAGGACCGATAATGTAACAGCTATTGATTGTTAGTGTGGAGCATTTACGGTCGTGTTTTTTTTATATTATCGGTTATGCTGCGGTCAATTTGTGTGACATTAACTTCGCTTTAATTTTTTTGCGTGAACGTCTTTGACCCGTAGACTGACTAGTTTCATATACCTTAATGTCGGTACCATTTTCCACTAGCTAATCGTATTGATTTTACTGCCATTTTAGTGTCGCCTCATCACAATCAAGATCAACAGACTCCAGAATTTCACGGTGACCGTGAATTTGATCGTAAAGTAATACATGTAGATGAAGGCAAGCCCCTCGAAGGTATGTGCAACTTTATTTTCTTGTTCACGTAAACGAATTTGACCCATTGTTTAGTTGTCATTTTTTCACCCAGACAGTTGTCTTTTACGAGTGATTTACTACAATGATAGATTGATTGAAAAGTATCACGAATATTTAATTGTTAGACAATATTGTCGTGTATTATTAGCGGAGTGACCCAACCTCAATTAATATATTGCGTATTTTTTGTCTGGCTGTAATAAGGGGAAGACCCCAACCTAAATGTTGATGTTTGAAAGTCCACAAGATTGAAATTGTTGGAATTGGGTTAATCTTGTCACGATTTACCGTCAAAACCGTCAGAGACAAGAAAAGCTATCACAAGTATCACCCGATGAGGAACATGCTATCAACAAGACAAAAGAAACAATCAATAACAAACCAACAATATATAGACCTAAGGAATTGAATACTTATCTTTAAAAGCGAAGAAACAAGACTTCTCCACGAACCAACAAAATCCATACCCGTCTGCAAGATGTGACCACACAGCTGCACCCACACAGCTGCTTCATGAGGTTATTGTCAGTATATGAGGACTCCAGATGTGCCTTTGAACTGGAGAGTTGGAGAAGCAATATTGATTCCCAAGGAGGAAAATACAAAAGACATCTCACTCTCCAGACCAATTATAGTGAAAAATGCCAGCGGGAATATTGCCACAAGAATCCTGGCTTCATAGATTAGGGGTAAATTCAAAATTAAACATGCGGTGCCTCAAGGTTAACCTCAATAAACCTTGCGGTACCTATTTTGTTAGGTAAACCTCGAGGTTTTGTAATCGGACGTTGTATGTATGCAGGTAAACCTAGAGGTTTTTTTAATCGGATGTTGTTTGTATGCATGGTACAAACAACGACGCTTTTATGAATATTCTCCTCCAGTGCGGGGTCATTTTCAGCTCACTCCACCCAGGTTATAGCGAACAAAAGAAGCAGGTTGGATGGGGCATTTTAGTACCAAAAGCCGGCATTTGTGGTCGGCCCTGTATAATTAAGGGATTTCATGATTAGTGGTCACGCTTGTTGGGTTTGATAAACACTGGGCTTAATGACGTTACATATTCATTGACTAAAAGCACTATATTTGCAGCTAAGGAGTTGAATTGAATGGTTTATTAATATTCTGTCGCGGCCGGCCATACGCCGAATCGCCGGAATATTTACAATAACGTATTACAATTTAAAATGTAAATGTCCCAGTTCAAGTGAAGCACAAAGCCCCATCTGGACAGACTGGACTATAATAGCGAAATAATAACGGGAAATGGGTCATGAAGGACACTTTCTCATAGACTTGTGCACAATTTTTTCCAACTTAAATGTGCCCTAACCCAGTTTTCCCTTGTCCTTTTTTTCCACGAATTGGGTCTTTTTACTAATTAAACCACGAGCAACAAATATAACCTAATTGCGACGGTGACATTTTGCCTCTAAAGGGGGGGGGGGGGCTGTGCCATTAGGGAGACAGAACTTTATGTGTCACCCTAAAAGCAGGTGTGTCCCTCTTATCGGAAAAATAACGATAAGGTGTCTCGCTAGTGGTATAATTAGTTATATAAAAGTAACATAATTATTATTTTACCTATAATTGGGTATTAGGGAGACATTCCCGTAGGCTTGTACACACCTTTTTTCTCAACTTTAATGACCCCTAACCCCAATTTTACCTTATCCAACCCCCACGAATTTCAGTATTTTTACTAATTGGACACGATAAATCGATCTAGCCTATTTGCGACACTAAAATGTTGCCTTTAAAGGGAAAATACAACATTTGCAGACATCGAAAAATAAAACTACCAAGTTTTTAATGTTTACCTTGTATACATTTCCAACGGTGGTCGGCCGACCACCGTTGGAAAAACCCAACTATTTTTCAACTACTGCTCCAAATTTACCATTTGTTTCAGTCCAAATTGTGTTTGCTATTAGTTACATGTTCATGAACGGGTGCTGGCCAGCTGGACTTGTTCCCTTACCATACAATTTTCCGGCATCTATAAATTGATCCATTTCATGTTTAGTGGAGTCAGGGAACCAGACTACTTGAACATTTTTTGTTTTTCTTGGTTTTTCCAGCATTTTCGGACACAAAACTTCAAACAAGTCAGTGTAACAATATTTTGTTCTATTATACTAACCCCTCAACTAGTTCATTTCTGAGAATTACAGCGAAAGCCAATGATGTACATTCCCTTTAAGTAGATGATGCATAATTAGGGACACATTGAAATGTCTCCCTAATTCGACATATCTCCCAAAGGTATAACTTATGACCTTTAGTGTCTCCTAAAGGTTATACTTGTTATTGTTACTCTTTTTGCTACAATAGGGCGACTTTCCCTTAGACTTGTGCACAAACCTACACTGTCACCTAACCATGCAAGTTTACCTTATCCTTTTCCCACGAAATTCGGTATTTTTACTAATTGGACCACGAGAAATTGATCTAGCCTATTTGCGATCTAGATGGTATGCGACAATAAAATTCCTTGTCCTAAGGGTCGTAACCATAAAAGGGCGACAGTTATATGTCGCCTTAATAAGGTGTGTCGCCTTATTGTGGACGCAGTTAGCAAAATCTGTCGCCCTTTTATAGCATACAGTGGGAAAATAATAATAATAATAAATAATAAAACGTGTTCTTATATTACAGTGCTTCTAACTAATATCAAAGCGCTTTACATTATTATTACCAAACAACAAAGGATAAATATATGTTGTCAATTTCTATATCTAATATGTTTGATGTGTTTGTTATAATTTTCACGCGTAAATTGTTGTCTTGTTTCCTTCCATTTAACCAGTCTTGGCTCAAGTAGATCACACGAAAGAGCAAGTTTTCGAAAGCCTCGAACGTGAAGCATAGGATGCTTTACTTGGAGGTATGTAGAAGCTTTTAGTTGGACATCATGTTCAGTATTTTCGGTGACCGTTAATGGTGAATATTAAGGTTAAATATTGTTGTCTTTTATGTTAAATATCCACATGTTATAAACTGTAATACTCTTTTTTTCTCTTTAACAATTTATGCAATTTTAATGTCTCAGTGAGTAATTTCCTTCAAAGACACTTTGGCATACTTGCAATACCTGGTTGTCATGTTAAACGGAAGGAACTACTCTGCGGTCAGAAATCTTCACTTGTGCTATTTTACTTTAAAAATCCTCGAAGGTATTTTATATCGATGAAAACCCAGTGAAAAGATGTAAGTTACGATTCTACGTCTTTGCGTAATTGTTTCGAAAACCCTCCACATAGTGAACGATTTTAAACAGACATTTTTAACCATACATACTGGAATTTGTATCCTTGTGGATACATTTCTTTGTTCTCGTGTAGTAAAGATCTGATACATCGTGCCCTGTGGAGACATGCACACAATAGGGAACAAAAGATTGTATACGTCTCCACGGGGAAATTTCTAGATGAATACGTCTCCACAAGGTTATCTCGAAATAGTTATACGGATTTTACTCAAAAACTAGGAATGTCCAAGGTATGTAGATCCGTCGCAAATGGAAGAGTTTTAGAAAAGGGATATTCAGTCCGAATTTCAGCCAAGGATATTAATTCTGGTTAAAATAAGAGCATTTTGAAACTCGAAAACTCAAGTACTAGCCGAGACACATCAAATCATCGGGAAAGACGTTTTGTTTTTATGAAGATAAGAAGCCTTTTTTTATCAATCAGATGGAATCATTCGAAATCAGGGGCAAAATCAATCTCGCGATCTGCAGCAGGCCAATCCACCAATACTGGGAAAGCAACAAGAAATGTGCTATTCTTGGCTGATTCTTGGGTTTTTTTGGCAGGTCCTAACTATTCTGTATGTTTGGTATCATAAAATGTTTATTTATCAGTATATCTATATGTTTTACGTGCTAACAGAACTAAGTGTCTTTCTTTTCGTCACCTTTTCACAGATCTCGATGTGCCAGCAGTTTACTTCAAAAAGCCTCTGCACTGATGACGTCACACTTTAGTTGCGTGTGTGCTTGCCTATGGTGCCTATAAGTGGACCGTGGGACACTGGCTCCGTACGAAAGTGCACATGTAAACAAAGTGTGATGTCATCAGTACAGAGGCTTCTTGTTAATCCTTTTGGTTGAGGGATTTGAATTATGCATGACTTGTGTTTAATTTCACCTTTCTTATCAAGGGTTAATCTATCATTGTAGTAAATCACTTTCTGGGTGGAAAACAATGACAACTAAATCAGTGAATCACCGTCAAATGGATTTAAGTGGTACACCACAAAAAGTAGGATTATTTAACTGACTTTATTTCTTTGGAAAGGTTAGAGAAAGGGCTGTAATAGATTGGGATATATACAATGTATACATTACAAACAATCGGCTCAGCGCGTGAACTACAAAGGGTGCTGTACAAACGTGAACGGAGAGATAGGCTGGCTTCCGGTCCCGCCATTACATCGTCTGGAATCTGTCCTCAATGAATATTGTCTTCGCTGATTGCCATACCTTATTTCTCAACCGCTATATTATTTATCAAGGTAGAATCGTTGTTGAACAAGAGAAGTAGACCAGCCCATTAAAGTCAGTATTGCATTTTTACCACCACTTACAACAGCCTATGGACTTTGGAAGGAGTAGCAGTTCGAGTCAATCAGACAATAGTCAAGCGGTTGTCAAACTAGTTCTAATGGTCTACTTTCAACTTGTTTTGAACTGTAGGCCTACATCCTGAGTTTATATCATTATAAACTACGAATACATACGGTATTCTGAATTAGTAATGGTTTGTATCATTGTGATTGTAGAGGTTTTTTTCGAAGTGTGCTACATGTTTAGCTCCTCACTGGGAAAATATTCTCAGTGTTCTCGAAAAATCAGTTCTCAGTCGCACAAAATTTCGCTTGTCCACTTTGTATTTTTTAGCTTATAATACAGGCAGGATTGCGATTTTAATTGATTGTGGCTTTCGAAGATCATTTTTTTCAGAGTCGATTCCACGTGATATTCAAAATTCTGAACGTGCCAGACTATTCCACACCTAATTATAATATTCACATCTAATGATTATAACATAAGATTTCGATTAACTTTGCCTATGATTGGTTTAAATTAAAATGATGCTGGCACTGTAGCGTAACAACCACCATTGCTGTGGGTCTTCTTTGCCTCAAACTTGTTATTCCTATAAACTCAATGCTTAGCGTCAGCGAACGGATCACTTATAAAATCAAGGCTTTCTCTCGGGTCATGAATAAACATATAAGGCATTTGAAACGCATGAATTATTAGTGGGGCCTCATGTTTTGAAGGGGGAACTCAATGCGTTTTCAATTTCAACAGTTTATTGTTGACTTTTCGAAATACTCAGTAGGTGGCACATTGAGGGGAGGGGCACATTGAGAGGGAGTGGGGGGAAACAAGCCTCGAGCGGGAAGAGATGAGCCTTGCCTAGTACATGTAGTTACACTGCTGGGGGCGCTTTCAGTAAGATATATCAAATCAATAATTTCCGAATTTCATTGGGCTCTCGTACGGTACCCTATAATCTCCGAGCATAACGCGCGTGCATAAGCTTGAACAGAAATCATCCAATTTCATAAATTGAGTATTTTGTAAAATTGCTTTTTGTCAAGAAGGTATACATAGGGTTTGCTACCCTATTAATAGAAACATTTTTTTTAATTAAATGCACGAAAGCTAAATAAAATATTCCATGGCGGGAAGATCTTAGCAAAAAATCTCTTAATCTCTCTTAAATCTATTTTGATTCACGTCGGCAATTTATAAATATCCATCCATTCCCTGAACTTAGTCTGGTCGTACCGGTCGTTTCTTGCATAAAACACTTCTCCCTCTCAAAAAAGGTATAGTTTGACTAAACTAATCACCGATGGCGGCCCCCTACAAAAAATGTATAGTGCCTGCATTATTTCCCCCCTCCCAATAAAACACGCTGCTTTCGTCACACATAAACTCGTCCGCAGCATGTGCAGATAGCTCCGTTAATAAGGGAATAACAGTGTGAGGAGCCGGTCTTCACTGCGTGATAATGACCGGGTGTGGGGGTGACCGAGTTCGTTGCAGTCACTATCACTTATATTGCATTTTTATACTGCACACTGCAGTGATATGCAACCGAGTTCGTTGCAGTTACTATCACTAATTGAGTGGTCGGGCACAACCCGACCACTCTTTGGATCTGTTACGATTAATCTTTCTTTCTTTCTTTCTTTCTTTTTTTTCCGGACAATACTTCTCCGCGGGTTTTCTCTTAAACGGTATATGGTATGAACTTGTAACTTTCAATATATATCGACCCTCATCCCTAGTGGTGCATATTACTCTGACGTCATGATTACGTCATCAGGTGTCAAATTACAAGTGATTTTATCTGAAAAAGTGACCAATTACTTTCACCTATAACTCTTGAACTAAATATTCAATGATGTTTGTATTCTGCAATCAGATAGACCATTAAACGCTTAACAGTTTTTGTCGTGTACGTGAACTCGCTTGACCTTTACTTCCGGGTCTACCGGAAGGTCAAAGTTAGGTGAATTCCAAATGAAGACGTTAGCCTGACATCAAAACAAGGCAACATTTCTTCCAAACGGTTCACGGTATGATCACAAAACCTTGTGTGAACTTGTACCGTGTTACGAAGATGTTATAAATTTTGTTACGTCATCATGACGTCATCAGGTATCAAATTACAAGCAATTTAAGGGCAAATTTTGACAAAATAGTTTGCTTTATATCTTGTGAACTAAATTCCGTGAGAAACATTTCGTGTTCCCGGACGCAAAACTGCTTGACCTTTACTTCCGGTGTTACCGGAAGTGCAATAAAAACTGAATATAACTCAAAAGCGGAAGCATTTTACTACAGACATATATATTATGAAAGTGTTTAGTGAGGAATGCAAGATGCAAAAAACAATGTGATGACGTCATCATCCGAAAGGGCGCCCCCTATCGGCACATAAAATAGAGTTTCCCTTCTTTAATTGTAAAACCATCCGTCCAAATTTTATCAAATCGCCCCTTGACATTCTCTGATTAACCACAGATAACTTGGCAAGGTTTCAAATTCATGACGTCATCAGACCGGAAGTTGCCTTAAGGAGAATTTGAAAAAGATCATAGTTTTAATTTAATTCTATCATTTGATCCCTGTCATATTTCCGAAGTCCACATAATGATATCCATTACAATGTCCACCTTTGGATCTCTAATGCTGTGATGTCATCAAACCGGAAGTTAGGTGTTATCAATACGTCATCAAACCAGAAGTTAGGTGTTATTAATACAAACAATTATATTTCCCATATTTTCATACGTTATTTTAACTTTACAATGAGAAATTATCCTCTCCGAACTTTATCAGTATTCATTCACCATTTTTGACTGATGACGTCATTAAACCAAAAATAACTTTTTGTGCACATAGAATGTTTACTGAAATTTATTACACCGTTAAAGATACCTTTTTGAAACATTGATTGTACTTGAAGGGTTTTAATGTCCTGATCCTTTTTTCTACATAAACATATATTCTTAACTTAACTGGGCAGTGTATAATGAAAAGGCTGTCCGCCCGACCACTCTGCGTTTGTAACTAAACAAACGCGAAACTCTAGTATTGCATTTTATTTTGTTCATTATGCACACTACAGTGATATACAACTGAGTTCGTTGCAGTCACTTATTGAGTGGTCGGGCACAACCCGACCACTCTTTGGATCTGTTACGATTAATCTTTCTTTCTTTGAGTGGTCGGGCACAACCCGACCACTCTTTGGATCTGTTACGATTAATCTTTCTTTCTTTCTTTCTTTCTTTCTTTCTTTCTTTTTTTTCCGGACAATACTTCTCCGCGGGTTTTCTCTTAAACGGTATATGGTATGAACTTGTAACTTTCAATATATATCGACCCTCATCCGAAGTGGTGCATATTACTCTGACGTCACGATTACGTCATCGGTTGTCAAATTACAGGCGATTTTAGAGGAAAAAAGGGCCAAATACTTTCACCTATAACTCTTAAACAAAATGATCAAATATGTTCCAACTTTGTAATCAGATAGACCATTAGGTGATCAACACTTTTTGTCATGTACGTGAACTCGCTTGACCTTTACTTCCGGGTCCACCGGAAGGTCAAAGTTACGTGAATTGAAAATGAAGACTTTAGCCTGAAATCAAAACAAAACACAATTTCTTCCACACGGTTTACGGTATGATCATAAAACCTACTGTGAACTTGTACCATGTTACGAAGATGTTATAACTGTCGTTACGTCATCATGACGTCATCAGGTATCAAATTACAAGCGATTTGATTGCACGATTTGACAAAATACTTTGACCTATATCTCTTGAACTAAATAGGATATCGTGTTCGTTTTTTCGTGAGGTTGTAGACGGTGCCTTGAGCAACATTTATTATTCCCGGGCACAAAACTGCTTGACCTTTACTTCCGGTGTTACCGGAAGTGCAATAGAAACTGAATCTAACTCTAAAACGGAAGCATTTTCGTACAGACAAATACATTATGGAAGTGTTAAGTGAGGAATGCCAATCACAAAAACATTATTTTGACGTCATCCACGAAAGGGCGCCCTCCAGCGGTACATGGAAAACAGTTTAATCTTTTAAAATGTTAAAACCCTCAATCAAATTTTGATGATATATTTGCCCCTATATATCCCGTGAGCAACCACAAATGAATTTGCAAGGTTTCATAATCATGACGTCATCAGACCGGAAGTTACTGTAGGGAGAATTCAACAATGACCATTTTATGTGTTAAGTTAAATCCATCATTTGATCCCTGTCTCATGACTTTGTTTTTTGCCCCCCCCCGTAAAAAAATGACATCTGTTACACTTTATATTGACCTTTTGCTTCCAAATACTGTGACGTCATCAAACTGGAAGTTAGCTGTTATTATTACATACACTTAATTTCCATATTTCCATGCGTTATTTTTACTTAATGATAAACAAGTGTCCTCCCTTCCCTGTTTTGACTGATGACGCCATCAAACCGGAAATAACTTGTACTCAAAATGTTTACTGAAATTTATCACACCTTAAAAGACGCATTCTTTTTGTAAAAAAATAATTGGTACTGGAAATGTTGAAGTTCTTGGTCCTTTTTTTCTGACATAAAGTTTAAACGTATTCATAACTTAATTGGACAATGTCTAATGAAATGGTTGTCTACCCGACCACTCTGCGTTTGTAACAACAAACGCGAACCTCTAGTTAGCTATTCCCAATTTCAATTGGGAACAGCTATTGTTTTCGTTAAAGTTTTTTTTAGCTGTTCCCAATTTCAATTGGGAACAGCTATTGTTTTCGTTAAAGTTTTTTTTTTTCCTTTTTTTTTTTTTTTTTTTTTTTTTTTTTTTTTTTCTTTTTCCACTTTTCCCATAGGTTTTGTACACGTTTTTATTCTACAAGCCACTTCGGCAATTATTTTAAATCCGATCAACTTTAAACTCAGCATAGTTATTAAACATCATCTGAGGATGCATGCCGAAACTTTTTGTCATGCTGACGTCATCACGTGATTTATTATAGAATTTTGAATATTTAATTTTTCCCATAGACTTTGTACACAATTTTTTTTTTTAAAATGCCGATTTTCAGAGGGCATTTTCAACTCTTTGCCAGTAATTCATTTACACTAATCTTTGTCCAAGCAAAGACCCTCATTCAAACAACATTGTGTAATGATGACGTCATGATGACGTCATCCGGTGTTTATTTATAAGCAATTTAATAGTGACACTTTTAATTTTTAAAAATGCATAAGAAATCAACCGTACGCGTCCGCAGCATTCTGTTGCCGGCAAGAGGTAGAGTAGGTTCAGGTCTTTATTTCATTCAGTGTGCGTGAAATCAAGTGACCCTTGCTTCCGGTCGAAAAAGTCCAAAACCGGAAGTGGCCTATTATTTGAAAGTGGTAATAGATATGAACTTGCTTTTAACGGTGTGAGTCTCTTTGCTGATAGTATTCTTCAAACCATCTACCGATGACGTCATGCAATCTTCGAGCGCCCTCTAGCGACAGGTTGAAAATTTTCAAAAATGTATTTTGAATAGATGTCTGTGGCGAAGTTTGTCGGAATCGCCTAAA